AGCGGTACGGGGACCCTGTCCCAGAGCTACCAGTATGAGGTGTGTCTGATGGGAGGCTCAGAGAGTAATGAGTTCAAATTCTTGAAACCTATCTTCCCTAGTATTCTGGGTCAGGACTCTGGGAGGAAATTAGAAGGTAATCCAACTTTCCAGAGTAATTTAAGTTTCTGAAATTTTTCCACTGGCTGTATTTATTTCGTTTGCTTTACTTTTCAGTTTTTATTTTTTAACACTATAGTTATCTGTAATTGTATTTTTTCTCTCTCGCTCCCTCTCTCTCTCCCTTCTTCCCACCCTCCCTCCCTCCTCTTTTCTTTAGTAATGTTACTCTTTGTTTCATTGGGTTGGCTGTCTGTAACTATTTTTTTCAATTATTAATATATATTTTATATCAGGAAATTTCATATTCCTGATTAAATTTTTAGTACCTGTTTCTGAAGGATAATATGAAAGTTAACCTCTCCTAGTGAACATAATCGTAATTTTAAAAGTACATTTCACGCTATTTGACACTACATAAAAATTTGTGAGCCCTTTTAATCATAATTTAGTTTTTAAATATTGGAAGTCCTTTTAGTATTTATTATTTATAAAGCTATAACTTTTTGATAATCCCGTTTTTGTTTTGGGGTGGAATCTGTTCATATTTATCCATGTCCGGTGTCTTCCAAACTCCCTGTTTCAATTTTTGTTTTTCCAATGAGCAGCAACATAGATAATTTCCGTCTATTTTTTCAAGATCACACTTGTAATCATTAGACTTTCAATCTAAAATACATACATCATCTCATGAAAAGATATCTGTATCATCTGTTCTTTCTCGCCTAAATTAATGTAGAAAAAACTATGGGTTCTTCCTATTTCTAACTGAAGTTATGATTGTAATAAGAGTTCTGGACTGATTNTGATTAAATTTTTAGTACCTGTTTCTGAAGGATAATATGAAAGTTAACCTCTCCTAGTGAATATATTCGTAATTTTAAAAGTACATTTCACACTATTTGACACTACATAAAAATTTGTGAGCCCTTTTAATCATAATTTAGTTTTTAAATATTGGAAGTCATTTTAGTATTTATTATTTATAAAGCTATAACTTTTTGATAATCCCGTTTTTGTTTGGGGTGGAATCTGTTCATATTTATCCATGTCCGGTATCTTCCAAACTCCCTGTTTCAATTTTTGTTTTTCCAATGAGCAGCAACATAGATAATTTCCGTCTATTTTTTCAAGATCACACTTGTAATCATTAGACTTTCAATCTAAAATACATACATCATCTCATGAAATGATATCTGTATCATCTGTTCTTTCTCTCCTAAATTAATGTAGAAAAGACTATGGGTTCTTCCTATTTCTAACTGAAGTTATGATTGTAATAAGAGTTCTGGACTGATTTACTGATAGCCAGACTGACTGTGTTTAAGGTGTTCCTATAAGACTAATAGACTCTTAGAACCAAGTGATGCATTTCCTGTAATTGTCCATTCTTATAGCGGAGAAATTTTCAACTGAGCTACAAATTCTGGACTTAAAGGAACTTTTCATGGCACAGCATGCCAATATCTACCT